AAAATTTGTTTTTTGATGAATAGAGATTTAAGTCAATCTTATTGTTTTACATTTTGTTTTTGACATTCTTAGGGTTCTTTAAAACCTTTTATTATTTTTATGTGCAGATTTAAATAAAACCCATTGTGATTCACATTGTAAACAACCTTAACCTAAATTTATGAATCATCATAAACCAAGAAACAAAGCAATTAGAGTATAGTTGAAATAAATTAGGAATGATGTAAAACAGATTATGACACGACAATAAATAAAGTTCATGAAAAAAATTTGCTGAATATTTTCAATTTTTTCAGATAATCTAGTTTGTTGAGCATTGCAGTAGTACTGAAAGTTTAACATTTTATCAAGTAATTATTTTATTTACTCTTGATTAAGAATTTTGAGATGTATAGAACTGCAAAACAAAGTTACATTCTGTAGCATAGATATTATTTGATAATCTTAGAGAGTTAAAATAGCAAATTATGTTTAGTATTTAAACAGGAAAACATACTGGTTGGATTGTTTTAATAAAGTGTATCTGCAACGTAAATATCAATAACTAGAAAAATAAAATATTTTGCATTTTGTTTAATGTAACATTTTCTTTGCAAATAAAAAAAGTTATGTTGAAAGAAAGTAAAAATTCTGATTATTCTTTAAAAAAAATTCAATTCTCTAAGACCACAGGAGAAATGTGTATAGGTGAAAATAATATCACCTTTGTTGATCTGACCGTGGCCCATGGCGTTTGACTCAGTCAGTAGAGTTGTGGCCTGTGGAAGATAATGGAGAAGTCTGGCTGCCCTAGCAGATATATTATAAAAGTATGTCAACTCCACTATGCCCTAAATGCAAGTTTGGAACTGAAAATGCAAGTACTTGATTGCTTTGCTAAGGCCTATGACAACTACGGTTTCATCATCAAAATGAAAAAAGAAAACCAGAGATCTTACCAGGAAAAGTTTAAAAAGAATCTAAAATATCGGTGAAGGTACAGAATCTTCAAGCAGAGGAAAAATTCCCTATACATGAGCAGCATCTTCTCCAGGTCACTAACAATAGATGATGATATCAATAACTGAATTTCCAAAATAAATGTTGGATTTGCAGGAGTGTTTTGGAGCAAAGGGGTCTCAGTCTTGTCACTAAGCTGCTAGCAAGACATGGGCAATGTACATCAGACATGCTAGACAGCTAAACCATCTCCACCTACATAGTTGATGTGTAAGGCTTAAGGTGATATGACAGAGTCCCTGATACGGAGGACCTACAAAGCGCTGATTTTATCAGCAGCCATTTATCAGCAGCCACATGATCCTACAAAAAAGACCAGTCAGATGGCCTGGGCATGTTGCAAGAATGCCAGACAGCAGACTTCCCAAACGACAAATGTTCAGTGAACTCTCCAGAGTGAAAGCACTCAACTGGTGTGTTGAAAAAAAGCTTCAAGGACTGTCTGAAAGTGTCACACAAAGCCATGGACAATGACTTTGATTCATGGAAGACACTTGCTATGTACCGTGCAAGCTGCCTAGGCAGACTCAGTGTCGGAGCCCAATACTCAGAGACTAAGCGCACACTTCACGCCCTAAGCTCACTTCAAGGAAAAATAAGAATTGAGGGAAATCCTACTGGGACCCAAAACAACGTGTGTCTTACCTGCGGGAATGCTTCCTTGCACAAATAGGACTGGCAGGCCACCTGCGTACTCACAGTGTAAAATAGACTTGGTCATCCTCACAATAACAATGTGTCAAAAATATAATTTTTAACAACAATTTTTGTGAACAAATTTTACAACATTAAAATGAAGAAAAACATTAAAATGAAGAAAAACATTAAAATGAAGAAAAACATTAAAATGAAGAAAAATTAAATCAACAAATAAAAATTATATATTTTTTTATTTGCTACTGGACCTATGAATAAATTAAGATAAATTATTATTATTAAATGACGTCAATGTGACCTCAAATATCATAGGAGTCATGCATAAATAAGTTAGCAGCACTACAAAATGAGCAGTTGTTTAAAATACTTAGAACTACTTTTAAAAATCATATTAATTAAAATACACCTCTGTATTGAAAAATTCAAATATTGAAAAAACGTTCATTCATTCAATAATAATTTTTTTAAAATAAAGTTTTGTAGAAGAACTTGAGCAAAATGACTTAAAAACTTTTCATGACTGCTGCTCATTATGAACTTTAAAGAAATCAAATTACTGACAATATCAGTCATGTTTGTAAGCCTTTTAAAAATTGAATGTGACAAATAATAAATAAAAAATTCTTCTTAATAAAAATGAACCACCTTCTGTGTTAGAGCTTAAGATAACAATAGAACAACAGAAAGTCACCATACATTCTCATAGTAGAACACTTCAACATATATTCCCTTGACTACCAATATTCCCTGAGAGCAAAACAATCTGATATAAAAGGAAGAATGACTATCAAAAGATAAAATAGCACTTTTGATCACAATCACAACACTATAATCTTGATACACTTTTCTACTTGGGAGACTTTTGCCCTTTTTTTTTTAAATATCCTTCTCATCCGTATTATCATCAAGTCCATGGTTGTCAGGTTAAAACATTAGCTTTAACTACAGGTGGATTAGTCATGTTTAAAAAAAAAAGTAGCTTAGCTAGAGTTGGATTTGAAATCAAAATACTTTTGGTTTGGAGAAGTATACAATATTTTTATTTTTAATCTAGCACTAGCACTCTAAATCTTTTCAAAACTTTTATTATTATTAGGTTAAAATTTAATATAATGATATCGTGGCAGTCTTTATTTATTTGCAGTAGACAACATAAACATGTTAGGGCACTTTCTAGGCTTGCTACTGGCCATGGGCAAAACAGCCACACACTTGTTGTCACCTGAGAGGAGACAGGCCAGTGAAGTCTCAGAGGGACTCTTATCATGGACCTTGAAAATTTGTTCAATACCCTTTAAAATACCTTTTATTCAAAGAATGAAACTCAGTTCATTACACACAAAGAATCCAAAGAACAGTACCAGGTCTGGTGCTAAGAGGGTGCGGGGCCTTGAGCGGTTGCCCACTTCACCATCCCCTAGCGACGGCCCTGAGAGTACAATTATTTGACAAATGTTAGAAAAGGTTTCAATAACTTTTATTTATTTCGGGGTAATAAGGGGAGAGACTGCAATCAGGTTAGTACAAAATAAAATGAGTATTTTATGAGTATTTTATTTATTTCTCAGGAAATAAAAATATAATGATTTTAAAATATAATGATCAAGATAATGCTTAGCCAGTGGTTTAATAAAATTCTTTCTTTGAAACTATTGTTACAAGGCTTCTCTAATGTTACGTGGGATTGTTAGACTCCAGAAAATGACAGTTTATTTCTACTTGTGTTCACCATAGATTGTGTATCATTTTTAACAGTTTATTTGACTGAATTCCTACCACCAGATACTTGGAGATGAGGGGATATACAGACAGGAAACAAGCTTATTCTCATAATACCAGGCCTTGTGATTATGCCCTGTCAAAACTAAACCATCGTCTCAATGAGACAGACAGATGCCAAAAAAACCGACCAAAAAGTCTTAACACATAGAATTAATAAATTTGCATAAAAATAGAGTCATTGCAAAAATTGAGCAGTCAAATATTTCATAAGGCATAAATTAAATGGCTTATAAATATAACAAAAATATTGCAAATTTTACAACAAATGGAGAAAAAAGAAGCCATAGCAAAAAAGGTTTGGATCACACGAAGTTTCTATGATGTGGAGAACAGAAAACTTTCACTAAAATCTGAGGAAAAGAACAGTACAAATAATCTTTATAATTCATCTCTGGGAATTATTTGCAATGATCATAACATGACTTAATCAGAATGAGAAATATGAACAGCTTCTTTCTATAAAAAGTGACATAACCTTACAAATTGATGACTTATAACTTACAATTAAGACATATTAGAAAAGCTCAGTACCAAATCAGCAGTCTACAAGATTAATTAAGCAAAGAATGTATAGAGAAGGCACAACACCACGCACCACTAAATTTAAGGGTTGCTTTGATGTTAAATTTATTGATGGGAGCTTGGAATATTATAAATTGAGTGGTTATGAATCGATCGGGTTAAATTTATAACTAAACAATATTTATGAGTTTTACAGTGTAGCCATTTAAAAATTCTTTAAATTATAAAGACAAAAGTGAGCATAAGACGTCTTCAAAATGACTTCTAATATTAGATTTTTTAAAAACACAAAATACAGTGACATAAGTGAGGTTATTTTCCACAGATTTGATATTTAAATGATTGGTAGACAAGAATATCAATAAAAGCTGCAATGTAAAATCATTTTTTCAAGATTCTGGTTTCTCATTATGCATTTACACCAAAAAAATGGCTCTCAATATCTCTAGAATAAAAAAATTACCAGGGTATTGTCAAAATAAATTAATTTAGGGATACTGCTGAGGCAATGCTACATGTCGTACTCACAGTTCCAATTTATCTGAGCCTGAGCTGTAGCAATTGACTTGTTGAAAGAGCCTAACTGACATTTTTGACAGTACCGGTAGCTTTGAATTAAGCCAATGGTATTTTAGAACTGACATTTAAGTAATGCAGAAACACAAAAAATCATGCAGTGAGAAAGAAATCCTCCTATCACTTGTTAAATTGCACTTGAAATAAACATAAGGTACTGATGTGTGTCTAGAGTTCAATGATACTCAGGTAAATTGATCTGTGTCTAGAGTTCAAGGATACTCAGGTAAATTGATCTGTGTCTAGAGTTCAATAATACTCGGGTAAATTGATCTGCATCTAAAGTGCAATGAGATGACAATACTGAGGTAAATGATGTACACAACTTTCATCTTCTGGCTCGAGTCTTTTCACAATCTCATTTAATTGGATTTGATATGTTTAGAGCCGGAGCCGTGTTAAAACAAGGGAGGTGAAGATGTCAGTTGGCCAAAGTCTGACGCCAATGACATTCCCAAACTTGTTAAGATATTTATGCAGAAGAATTATTTTTTAAAATATCTTTTTATATAACCTATAGGTTACAGACCTACACTATTTGTTCAGTCTTTGTTCAAATAGATCCTTGAAATAGTTTTAAAAATCAATTTTTAAAATGTATTCTCTTTTCTTCATTGAAAAGATGGGGTTCAGAACACATTGGGTCCAGAAAAAACTGTTTTGAAAACAGAACCCTAAAAGATTGATTACATTCTATTTCTGCTAAAAGATGCCTGGAGGTCCGTAAGATTTTCCACCTTGGGATTCATTGCCATTGTGTGTTGAACCAGCATTTAGCATGAGACATTGAACTAAGCTCCAAATACGTTAGTTACCAGAGACTATCACATCATCACAATTTCAGTATGGACTGAAATTCATTTTGTAGAGATCGCTAATATCAGAACATGGCACTTTTACAGTTGTTTCATATGCACCAGTCTTGTGATTGGTGTTGTGGCTGGCACAGTAATCAGGGTCAATGTATTCTTGGTTCAAGACTTTGCGTAAATTTCGTGGAACCGGAACCTGTCAGATAAATCGACTCTGTTAGATTACTTATGAAAACATATGACTGATATCCATACACATTTTTTTTTTTAAAGTTCCTTTTTATTTTAACATTGCATTTCTAAATATTTAATATGAATTTTTAAAAATACTAGAATTTAATTAACAAAAATTATGATATATATTTTTGCCAGGGACATACAGAGGTTATATTTCAGAGTTGTAAAACAAAAAAAACTTTTCATTGTTGCTGTAAAAAGGTGATATTAGGAGTTTGATCTATTTAACAAACCAGTAAAGATTCAAAAGGCAGAAGCTGTGCAGGAAACATATCATCTTTTAAAAAGACAAATTTCGTGAGGTGGACATAGTTGAGTGCCCAGACATAGCGCTCATCCTGTGTGTACAGGAAAATGTCTAAAAATGGCCACAGCTTTTTGGCATTGTCTGGAATTACATGACCGTCACTGAGGAAGCAGAAAAAAAAAATGAATATCATTTTTTAAATTTTAATTTGTTATACACGCATTCAAATATTTAGAGCACATGGCTGTATTTTTAAATTGTGAAGCCGTAGTTTTTAAAAAAAACAACAAAATAGCAAAGGATAAAACTATTGTGATTGTGCGCCAATGTCTGATGAGCATTTAAAAAAAAAATAAATGTGTCAATTAACTTAGCTATGTTCAGTTGAAGTTTGTAGTGGGGCTTTTTTCTTAAAAAATTGACATAATTATTTATTATAATTAAAAATAGTAAATACATTTGTCTATCTAGATTTTACGTTAAGTGAAACAATCTTTGGATCAGTGTTGCATCGTAAGAATATGCAATTGATGCTCCTAGTAAAAGTCTTTAGTTTAATTTTTTAATATTAATATTATTGTTTACACATTTGACATGTTTGACAAGGCATTATTAAAGTAAAATATGTGTTAACAGATTTCTTTTTTTAAATAATGCGTGGTTTTATGCATAAAAATGTATAAAAAATTATTAAAATTTATTAGTTTTAAATAATATTAGTGATAATGCTCTTACTTACTAGTCTTACCTTTTGAAAAAGGACCACTTGGAGTTTGTGCTTGCATCCAGAGTAAATCCACTGATGCACGACAGAGCCTTTTTAACCTCCATCCAATCATCGACATTGATACCAACGTCGATATCATCATCCCATGGTGTGATACCTTGGTGTCGCCATGCCCCAATGGCTGAACCATGCAGCAATATATGACCTAGCCTGGCTCTGTCCAAGGCATGCTTAAATACGGCATAGACATGAAGCAGACTGATCTGTAGGGAAAATAAACTTATTATTTCAGATTGGAAAACAAAATTTCGATCTGTTGCAAAATATATTTATATTTAGACTATCCATAGTCCATAGGGTTGATCTGCACAAAACGATATTTATATTTTATTTATATAATAATTTAAATATTATTATATGTTTTCAAAGAGCAATTTTAAGTCTTAAAATTTTATATTAAAACTTAATGCAGTCTTTTAAAATAAATATCTTCTTTTAATTATTTTAACATGAAAACACATAAATTGTATCATAATTTATAACCTATATTTATATAATGCCATGATTTATTTTTTTTCTTTAAATTGCAAGAAGCCGGGAGGGAGTACAGAGTGCTGTCTGGTGTGTAAGGTTGATTGTGACCTATTAACTATGTTTCTATGGTAACTAAAGGCAAAGGGAGAGAATGCAATCAGTTTAGTTTCTACTATTTAAGTGTACAGTGTAAGTCAAATTTGGAAATTTTTCGTCAAAATGATGCATTTATGCTAAGCTAACCTTATCATCACGACTGAGAGCAGGCGCAAACCCTGTTTTCCATTTCTCCTTTTCACTAAGTTGCTTGAGTTTTTCTTCCACGTCATCATAAAACTGAATCTGTTGACAGTGAGTTCAATGACAGTATTGACAGTGACAGTTTTGTAGCAGTTCATAAAGATATTATAGTACAGCAAATCTTAAAAGTTTTACAGCACCTTGTTGTTACATTTTATAATTTATAGCCCATAGTTACATTTTTCAGCAAAATTACACTATTGTATAGCACAATCAGCACATTATTACATTTTTACAGAACATTGTTACATTTTTACAGCACATTGTTAGTTACATTTTTATAGAATAGTAATAAATTAATTAATAATAAGGTGAATGGTGAAACATCCCCAAGGGGTCGTCCATTAATTACGTCAACAATTTTTACGCAATTTTTGACCCCCCCCCCTTGTCAACAACTGTCAAACTTTCGATGACCCCCCTATTTAATTATGTCAACATTTTGTACCCCCCCCCCCAAAAAAAAAAATAATATAAATAAATTTATGAATACATTTTACTTTGAGCTGATCTATTTAAAAAACACATAAAAATTGTAGGGAAAAAAATTTATTACATGTTTAGCTTGTTAATCAACAAGTTAAAAAGATTTTACACTTAAATTTTATAATGCAGAATCAATTAAAACGTTGTTATGGACTAAATATCATTGTTTGTGGAAGTATAAATATGCTTATTGTCACTATAGCTGACAATTATAGTATCGTAACAATGGGCATCAGGGACATCATTTGGGTAAGGCAGGGGCCATTTGCCCCTCCCCCCTGATTTTTGCTGGTCTTATTTAAATTGCCATTCACTTAAAAACTTGACAAGCCGATCAAGTTTTGGTTTTGTCCCCCCTACCCTCGCCTGAAAAAAACTTGAAATGACGCCCCTGATGGGTATAGTCCACGGTAGCTAATTTATCATTTTCATCTTGCTGAACTGATATACCAGACAAGTCAACATCATCCGTATCTAACCATTCAGCACTTAAAAATGGAAATATTGTCGGTGTGAGCAATAATTGCCATAAGCTCTCCCTGTCTTTGAGTTGGTATCGTTGTTATTGAGCACCGATGAGTTGTTTTTTTTTTTTTTTAAATTGAACACCGTTTACATTGATGTGTTAATCATTCTTGGGAGCGGATTGAGAGAAAAATGACAGGTGAAGAGATGCCATCTTTTGATTTCTCTTGCACTAACAAAGTGTGATAGCATTCTGACCAGCCAAATGCAGTGCACAGACACACATTAAATTAAATAACTCATTTAATTGTTAAAAACCTAAAGATATATGAAATATGACTATTTACACTCATTGTATTGTTTAAAATAATGTAGGAGCCAGTAAATTTTTAAGATTAAAATTTTAATAGAAAAAAAAATATTGTTGACGTCAATTAATCAAAACCCTCTCCCCTCCCCCTTTGTCAACACCTGTCAAACATTTCCAAACCCCTCCCCACTAATTTGTTGACGAAATTAATGGACGCCCCCCCTTCCCCCATGAAATGGAGGCTCGTGACTTAAATTAGTGAGCGTGCAGCTTACCAAAATTGTAGGTATTATTTTAATATAATTGTGCGAAGCGAAATATATACGCGCAGAGAAAGAAAGATTATATATGTGGTTACCCGTATAATGAATCTAATCGGATACAGCATTCGATGTGCAGGCTTGATGCAAACATCACTAGTGCCTACCAGAAAGGTGACGTCATAACCCAGCAAACTACCGCCCAATATCCCTGACCTCCGTTCCATGCAAAATCCTGAACACATCATCTATCGTCACATCATGAACCACCTTGAACACTACAACATTTTGACCAACCTAAACCACGGTTTCCGCTCTGGATTCTCAACAGAAACTCAATTAATCATCACCACCAGTGACCTCCTTTCCTCCTACGACAAAAGTAAACAGATCGACATAGGCGATTCTCGACTTCTCCAAGGCCTTCGACGCTGTTCCACACAGCCTTCTTCTACATAAGCTCTACCACTACGGCATTACCGGCAACCCTCAGTCCTGGCTCTCAACATCCTAACACAAAGGACCATGCAAGTAGTGGTGGATGGCGTCCGATCAAGCAAAGCCACTGTAGACTCAGGAGTTCCTCAGGGTACAGTGTTGGGCCCCCTTCTCTTTCTCTGTCGTATAAACGATCTCCCTGATACAGTAAAAAACTCAAGTGAGGCTGTTTTCAGATGACTGTCTTGTCTACAGAGAGGATAAATGGCTACGATAACTACAACCGCCTCGAAGCAGATTTGAAGTGCCTTATGAGATCGGCGGACAAATGGGGCATGAAATTTAACAAAACTAAATGCTACACAATGAGCACCTCAAGAAAGAAAAAAAACATCAACCTATATGTACTCTCTAAACATAACCATTCACCATCAAGTGTCAAATAATCCATATCTTGGAATTCTTTTCTCTAATAATCTGAAATGGTCACCCCATATGAACAAATTTTTTAAAAAAAATCCAACTCCACACTTGGTTTCATTCAAAGAAATCTGCACAACTGCCCAACATCTGCAAACGAAATGCTTATCTCGCAATCGTCCGTCCCCTGCTGCTATACTAGAATATGGTGCGATCATCTGGGACCCATACCTAAAGCAAGACGTGGACAAGATGGAGCGAATACAACGCAAAGCAGTGCGCTTCATCGCAGGTGAATACAAATCCACCACTCCTGGCTTTGTCACTGACCTCTTAAAAAGATTTGACATCCTCTCCCTCAAAGACAGACGAGAAAAGCTCTGTTTAACATTTCTCTATAAAGTGGTCACGGGGCTGGTGCCGGCCATTCCAGCTAACACGTATCTAATTCCGCAGAATCCAGGTCGCTTAATCAGAGTCAAGCGCTCAATAAACATTGACTTCACCTCTGACAACTCCATGGGCGGTTACATCCGGAACAATGATAAACGCTTAACTGTGCCTTGATGTAACACAGTTCAATATAAACAATCATTCTTCTCACGAACAATAATTGCTTGGAACCAACTGGACAATGCCGCCGTGCACTCGACATCAATCGACCGTTTCAAGGCTGCCCTGGCACCCGGTAGGAGCCGTTAGGATAGCCGCATCGTTTCCCAAACCGTTGCACATATGCCAGTACATGGTTGCAGCAACGTAGCCTATCAGAATCAGAAAAGACAATACTACAAAAAGTTAGATAACTATAATTAAAAAAACAACAACAACTCACTTGGCTAAGATCCAAGTCCATTTTTCTAACACCCGCCTCGCTCACGTTAGGACACGCCCAGGCACGATTCGTGTTTGTAGGGCGTGCAGAGAGGTGCATCTTGATGATCTGGTAGGTGCTCACATCTTTCCACAGCGGGTATGGAAAGAACGTCTCCTTCACCGGAAGCGTGACCATGAAGATGGCGGCAAGCGTCACCACGAAGAGCAGAACAATGACCGGCTTCCTCTGGTTCAGAGACTGTATTCTGTAGCCTGATGGGATGCGCGGGGTGAATTTGATGATCATCATCCGGATTCTTGAACTCAGTCTCTGTGACCAAATAATCAAAAACAACCCTTGTCTTGATCACGGCATCCTGTCTTTCAGCATTTAAAGTGGGATAGAAAATAAGACTTAATTAGTAGCCTCGATTAATAAGATCACTTATATCTATTTTTCTTCTGGTGTGGCTGCTTCCTTTTCACCATAACACCCCCCCCCCCTCCACGCTCAACATGTTTATATTATTAGTACTGAGTGAAAAGAAAAAGGAAAGTCTTGCGTGACGGTTCAACTCGGGTAAATGGGTTGAATTGTTTCGGGGGTGACTATTATATTAATCAAGACTCAATGTCGCCCGGAGCAAAGCTCCAAAAGTGAGCTCCCAATACACACACACACAATTTATATGATTTATGCCCACCCCACAAAAGTTTAGCCCGGGGCGGTCACCCCCTTTGGCCGTCCAAGCCAATGAAAATTCTTGTGCACGTAGAATCAAAAGCTTCCTATCTTTCTGGAAAGTCAACTTGTGACACACCTGTTTGTTAATGCAAGTGTTTGTTGGTGTAAGTGTTTGTCGGTACAATTGTTTGTTGGCGTAATTGCTTGTTGGTACAATTGTTTGTTGGCGTAATTGCTTGTTGGTACAATTGTTTGTTGGTGTAATTGTTTGTTGGTACAAGTGTTTGTTGGTACACGTGTATATTCGTACAATTGTTTGTTGGTAATATTGTTTATTGGTACAAATGTTTGTTGCATGGAGTAGGTGCTAGTTGGTACAATTGTTTGTTGTTACAAGTGCTTTTTTTTTGGTACAAGTGTTTGTTGGCACAAGTGTTTGTTGGCGCAAGTGTTTTTTGAACAATTGTTTGTTGTTTAAATTTTTTTTTGGTTGATCTGAACTATTTCAAACTCTATATTTTTAATGAACGCATTGTTAACGTTTAAAAAAAAAAATATTTTAAATACCACTACCGGTTTTTTAAAAAGCGTTGGCTTACTTTGAATGGCAACCAACGCATCAACAGTTTGGCTCGATGATGAGTGGAAACCTGTCACATCCAAGTCTAGTGGCGTTGCGCACGTATTGTGATTGACGGGCCTCAACATTCAGGGTAATACACACATCTGAAAGAAAGTAGAAATTAAATTTTAAGAATGAAACGCCCTGGAAGCTAAAGTTAATCCTGTACTGCACTGAAGATACGTTCTTAGAAAAAGCATTCATCTAATGATTTGTTTGTCAGTTGAACACATTGCTGAGCGCACAAGCATCAGAAGACTTGCACCCTTGCTGCAGCACAGGGCTTTATTATTTTGTTTTACTATATAGCGCGGTGCATTCAAAAAGAAATTTGACGCCAAATTTGATCGTGCGAACTGAAAATAAAATTCAATCGAATTTCCGTTACTCCTAACGTCCGTCGATCAATTTTCCGTCGACGGAATTCCTTTCAAACAAATTTCCGATAACCGTTATTCTCATGTGGCCCTTCAAGTCAGCTGAGTTGAGACTCCTAAACCAATGTGGTTCTTCAAGGCAGCTGAGTTGAGACTCTTAAACCAAGCCAGCTGAGTTGAGACTCCTAAACTAATGTGGCCCTGCGAGCCAGCTGAGTTGAGACTCCTAAACTAATGTGGCCCTGCAAGCCACAAGAGTTGAGACTCCTAAACCAATGTGGTTCTTCAAGCCAGCTGAGTTGAGACTCCTAAACCAAATGTGATGCTCTAAAATCTAAATGAACGTACAAGCCGAGCCTAAGTTTCTGCACTGCAGATATTTCAATCGACAAGTCAAGCTCTTTATTCCCAATTAGTGCCACCCCTTCTCCCGTACGCCACCGCCCCTGAACTATATTCATATTTTAATGTCCCATCCGTTTAAACAAAAATTGTACATCGCAGATTTATAAATAGTTGTTTTTTTAAAAAGATGTATAACATTATGAAAGAAATTATGGTCAAAATTGATTTTATTTAAATATTTGTCCCTCGTCATTTATTATTTGTTAGATGAAATGTGTTCATCTATTTATATATATCATTTATTCATTCTTATTACTTTCTAGAACAACTTCCCACCAATTCTTCTTACTTTCTAGAATAACTTCCAGCCAATTCTTATTACTTCTAGAATAACTTCCAACCAATTCTTATTACTTCTAGAATAACTTCCAAGCAATTCTTATTACTTGTAGAATAACTTCCAAGCAATTCTTATTAATTTCTAGAATAACTTCCCACCAATTCTTAATACTTCTAGAATAACTTCCCACCAATTGTTATTACTTTCTAGAATAACTTCTTACAATTCTTATTACTTTCTAGAATAACTTCCCACCAATTCTTATTACTTCTAGAATAATTTCCCACCAATTCTTATTACTTTCTAGAATAATTTCCCACCAATCCTTATTACTTCTAGAATAACTTCCCACCAATTCTTATTAATTCTAGAATAACTTCCCACCAATTCTTATTACTTCTATAATAACTTCCCACCAATTCTTATTACTTCTAAAATAACCTCCCACCAATTCCTATTACTTCTAGAATAATTTCCCACCAATTCTTATTACTTTCTAGAATAACTTTTCACAATTCTTATTACTTCTAGAATAACTCCCCACCAATTCTTTTTAATTTCTAGAACAACTCCCCACCAATTCTTTTTAATTTCTAGAATAACTTCCCACCAATTCTTATTACTTCTAGAATAACTCCCCACCAATTATTTTTAATTTCTAGAATAACTCCCCACCAATTCTTTTTAATTTCTAGAACAACTCCCCACCAATTCTTTTTAATTTCTAGAATAACTTCCCACCAATTCTTATTACTTCTAGAATAACTCCCCACCAATTATTTTTAATTTCTAGAATAACTCCCCACCAATTCTTTTTAATTTCTAGAATAACTTCCCACCAATTCTTATTACTTCTAGAATAACTTCCCACAAATTCTGTTTAATTTCCAGAAAAACTCCCCACCAATTCTTTTTAATTTCTAGAATAACTTCCCACCAATTCTTATTACTTCTAGATTAACTTCCCACCAATTCTTTTTAATTTCCAGAAAAACTCCCCACCAATTCTTTTTAATTTCTAGAATAACTTCCCACCAATTCTTATTACTTTCTGGCTTGCAACATTATTTTCAAAATCTGACTTGGAGCGCGACCCACTCGAAGTGAGTAGTGTAGTGTGTAGGCCTGATCTAGAACCTAGAAATGCTTGAACTATCTCGTATTTATCATAACATGAAAATGGACCGAGGTGAGCTGCCAGTCAGACAACAACCTAGGTCCGACGCCCCTCGGGAGTGGGAGGGGGGGGGAGGTCTGTGCATTTTGCCCAACTCATTTTAGTGATGAATCGGCGATGGTTAAACCCTCCATAGCATGGTTTTGAAAAAGTTCACAGGGGCCGTCCATATAGTACGTCACAGGGGCCGTCCATAAAGTACATCACAGGGGCCGTCCATATAGTACGTCACAGAGGCCGTCCATACAGTACGTCATTATTTATTTTTTTTTTGGACAGAGCTGCCCACTCCCTCTTCTCTGTCACAATATGTCATAAATCTCCGACAGCAACCCCACTCCCCCAACCTAAAGTACGTTACAATTTTGAGCTAATAAAAGTGTTAAAAATTCAAAACTAATTAATATTTAATCTAAGACACAATTCACTGTTAAACTATAATGACATTTATAAAAGTGACGTCGGAATACATCCATCACAACACAAAGTTTAACATCACTGTCAGAGTGCATCCATCACAACACAAAGTTTAACATCACTGTCAGAATACATCCATCACAACACAAAGTTTAACATCACTGTCAGAATACATCCATCACAACACAAAGTTTAACATCACTGTCAGAATACATCCATCACAACACAAAGTTTAACATCACTGTCAGAATACATCCATCACAACACAAAGTTTAACATCACTGTCAGAATACATCCATCACAACACAAAGTTCAACATCACTGTCAGAATACACCCATCACAACACAAAGTTCAACATCACTGTCAGAATACATCCATCACAACACAAAGTTCAACATCACTGTCAGAATACATCCATCACAACACAAAGTTCAACGTCACTGTCAGAATACATCCATCACAACACAAAGTTCAACATCACTGTCAGAATACATCCATCACAACACAAAGTTTAACATCACTGTCAGAATACATCCATCACAACACAAAGTTTAACATCACTGTCAGAATACATCCATCACAACACAAAGTTCAACATCACTGTCAGAATACACCCATCACAACACAAAGTTCAACATCACTGTCAGAATACATCCATCACAACACAAAGTTCAACATCACTGTCAGAATACATCCATCACAACACAAAGTTCAACGTCACTGTCAGAATACATCCATCACAACACAAAGTTCAACATCACTGTCAGAATACATCCATCACAACACAAAGTTTAACATCACTGTCAGAATACATCCATCACAACACAAAGTTTAACATCACTGTCAGAATACATCCATCACAACACAAAGTTCAACATCACTGTCAGAATACACCCATCACAACACAAAGTTCAACATCACTGTCATAATACATCCATCACAACAGAAGAAAGTTCAACATCACTGTCAGAGTGCATCCATCACAACAGAAGAAAGTTCAACATCACTGTCATAATACATCCATCACAACACAAAGTTCAACATCACTGTCAGAATGCACCCATCACAACACAAAGTTCAACATCACTGTCGATTTCAGGTTCTCTATTCGTGATGATTAAAAAAAAACTAAACTGTGTGGCGTCCCACAGTAACTCCCCCCCCCCTTTTCTCAACCACCATCCCCGTGTCACACTTTCTTAGACTCTACTTTCTTAGTACTTTATGGACGCCTACGCCCCCCCCCCCTTCCACGGTTGCTATTGAATTTATTAAAGTGCTGCCTACCCTATTTAGAATAGCTGCACTCCACGTCACTCCGGGTTCCCTGTTCATATCGACGCCATGACCATGACATTGAGAACACATAACTAAAGGATCAATCACGCATTCAAATGATACACAAAAATCTAGGTTAAATATCGCTCACTTTGCCCAATCTTTCCGCCGTTGACAACACACACAATCATCAAACGAGAAATAATTTATGACGGCAGCCCGAGGACAAGGGCATGACTTTTGAAAAGGCGACTTTTTTGTGGAGTCTTTGCAACTGAAACGCCACCATGGCCGCCCCAAGCCCTGGGGCTAAAGGAGGAGGGTTGCTGTGAGGCCAGCTACCTTACCCGTAAAAAAAAAAAAAAAAAAAAAAAAAAAACAAAAAAAAAAAAAAAAAAAAAAAAAATTTCAGCCCTGATAAGAGAGGGATCTTATTCCGCCCATGAAGAGTTATCAAGCCTTGCGGTCAAAGCCAGGTGGAAGCCTCAAAGACGAGGATCCTACTTTCAAAGGCAGTTAACAAAGGCTCGTGGAATGTTAGAAGGATGTCTGGAACGGGAAAATCAGCCCAAGTGGCGGCAGAGAAGATGGCACACAAACTCACACTGCTTGGCATCTGCGAAACAAGATGGACACGAGCTGGACAGTGAACTTTGGCCTCGGGGAGAAACACTAATATACTCAGGGAATGGGGGTAATGCTCCACACACGCAAGTCACCTCTTTCGTGATGATAGGAATGACGCAAGGGACACTGATAGGATGGACTACGAAAAGAGTTTCATAGTTTGAACCGACAAACCTTATAAGCCCTACATTCTTATTGTCAGCTTCAGCCCCGCAGATATAGGCCCTACATTCTTACTGTAAGCTTCACCCTCGTGGATATAAGTCTTACATTCTTACTGTAAGCTTCATCCTCGTGGATATAGGCCCTACATTCTTACTGTAAGCTTCATCCTCGTGGATATAGGCCCTACATTCTTACTGTAAGCTTCATCCTCGTGGATATAGGCCCTACATTTTTACTGTAAGCTTCATCCTCGTGGATATAGGCCCTACATTCTTACTGTAGGCTTCATCCTCGTAGATATAGGCCCTACATTCTTACTGTATGCTTCAGGCTCGTAGACATAGGCCCTACATTCTTACTGTAAGCTTCAGGCTCGTAGATATAGACTCTACATTCTTACTGTAGGCTTCATCCTCGTAGATATAGGCCCTACATTCTTATTGTAAGCTTCATCCTCGTAGATATAGGCCCTACATTCTTACTTTAAGGCAACACAGATAATACAGTTTTCAAGAGAAGAAGTTCACGTCGTTAAACAGTTAGAGTCTGTTGTCGAGTATGAGCGTTCATTAGTAATTTTTGCGACTCAATATTATGTTCATTAGTTATTGAACGCTTTTCCCGCGCTTGACTCTTACAGTTATTGAACGCTCTTCCCGCCATTTTATCTATGTCGTATTTTTATGCTTGATTCGTGACGTATTGTCTATGCAGTGTTGTGACGTACGTTTTAGTCGTGCGGCAGTCTTGAGTGGAACCTTGGAGTGATAGGATGTGTGTTATATAGGTCTGATGGCGAGCTGTGATATGTTCACATGTTATGTGTATTATATTTACTTAGATATTAAAGTTATAATTATTATGAAAAGGAGTTGAGTTTGTTCAATGATAATGGGAATAGTACCACGCTTCAACGTGTGAAAAGAACTTGAAGAATGTAATCAATCCAAGAAGCCTGTAGGAGTTAACATTTGTCCGGAATGTGGATTGTGCATTCTGGGAGGAGTGTGGATTCTGTGCGGAGTGTGGACTCTGTGTGAAGTGTGGATTCTGTGTGGATTCTGTGTGGTGTGTGGATTCTGTGTGGATACTGTGTGGTTTGTGGATTCTGTGTGGATTCTGTATTAGAGCGTGGAAAGAGTTGTTTATTTAAGTATAAAAAAAGATTCAGAAAAAAAATGAAACGTTTGTATTTAAATAGAAATCGACTTCATAACTACAAAGTTATCGTGAAGAGAATCGATGCTTTATAACACAAATAAAATCAGAGTCGGAGAAAAAAAGGGGGGAGCAGGAGGGTTTGGCGACGTTCAGAAAAGGCGTCACTTCTAACCAAACGTGGTGCCGACTCTATTTTTTCCAAGACCAATATTACTGGCACTGATACTTTTGGTTAAATATCTGTTCATAAAATATCTACAATCGAATTATGATTAGAGTAGTACAATTGTTCTATTTTCTGGTCACGATGGTTCATTTCTCACAGCGCACACACACACACACACGCACACACACGCACACACATCTTCCATTGAACCTAACAATGTTCACAAACTAGCCTTCCTACAAAAAACACTATCGATAATCGATTTTCCTAACATAGTGGTCCTGATTGTTTTCCACCGGCCTGGCTATATTTCTGATCAGTATCTTTATCAGACTGAGCAAGGAGAGAAATAAAGGAGAATAAGAAACAAACAAAAAAAAAGGAGGGGAGGGGGTTTGGGGCGGGGGAAGCCCCGGGGGGGGGGAGACATTTGACAAAAGTGCTCCAATAATGGCTAATTTGTACGACAGTTCAGTCCTGTGTTTGCTCTAACAGTTTAAGATGGAGTACATCGTAGGAGTTCTCCATTCAGTGGTCGTTATACGAAGAAAATAAAGGGAGTATGGGGGGGGGGGGGCAAACAAAAGAAGAGACAAAAAACAAGACAAGTAAACATTATAAAGTCTTAACTGTCTCTATGACGTCATTGCTGAGTCTCTTCAAACAGTTCAGTCCTGTGTTTGCTCTAACAGTTTAAGATGGAGTACATCGTAGGAGTTCTCCATTCAGTGGTCGTTATACGAAGAAAATAAAGGGAGCATGGGGGGGGGGGTCAAACAAAAGAAGAGACAAAAAACAAGACAAGTAAACATTATAAAGTCTTAACTGTCTCTATGACGTCATTGCTGAGTCTCTTCAATACAACACTACGGCATGCTGTTCATTACTCACGACCTTCATCTCACGATGAAATGCAAGCATAATGTTTCCACAAAACACAGCCATAATATTTCCACAACACACAGCTATAATTTCTCCACAACACACAGCTATAATTTCTTCACAACACAGACATAATGTCTCAACAACACAGCCACAATTTCTCCACTACACACAGCCTTAATATTTTCACAACACACAGCCATTTTTCTTCACTACACACAGCTATAATTTCTTCACAACATACACCCTAAATCTCCCCTAAACATACACCCTTAATCTCCCCTAAACATACACCCTAAATCTCCCTTAAACATACACCCCAAATCTCCCCTAAACATACACCCTTATCTCCCCTAAACATACACCCTAAATCTCCCCTAAACATACATCATTAATCTCCCCTAAACATACACCCTAAATCTCCCCTAACATACACCCTAAATCTCCCCTAAACATACATCATTAATCTCCCCTAAACATACACCCTTAATCTCCCCCAAACATACATCATTAATCTCCCCTTAACATACATCATTAATCTCCTCTAAACATACATCATTAATCTCCCCTAAACATACATCATTAATCTCCTCTAAACATACATCATTAATCTCCCCTAAACATACATCATTAATCTCCCCTAGACATACACCCCTAATCTACCCCAAACATACATCATTAATCTCCCCTAAACATACATCATTAATCTCCCCTAAACATACACCCTTAATCTCCCCTAAACATACATCATTAATCTCCCCACAACATACACCCTTATCTACCCTATAAACATAAACCATTTATCTCCCCATAACATACATCCTTAATCTCCTTTCAAAGTTCAATTAATTATTTTTTTACTGTTCATCGACGTCATCATATATTTTTATATCATCTGAGCTGAAGACGAGAACTTTGTTCTTCATATTTGCAAAGGAATGAATTTTTTATGAATAAATTTGGGGGCGGTATTTAGTCACGACACGCCTCTGCATTGGAACAATGTACCCACGGTACACACTGTTCATTTACAATGCTCGCAATCTCGCAGCAAATCTTCTGAATTTACCCACGGTACACACTGTTCATTTACATGCTCGCAGTCTCGCAGCAAATCTTCTGAATTTACCCACGATACACACTTTTCATTGACAGTGCTCGCAGTCTCGCACCAAATCTTCTGACAACCAACTGTTTTGTTGTAATTTTAGAAACACTTGTGCATTTCACGTTTGACTGGATTTGCGCTATTTCAAGGGGGTTTTGCAGAGTAACTGGTCTTGCCGGGAACGAGTCAGCGCATATACCAGGGACAGCGCTATTTCAAGTTTCGCTATTAACATGTTACACTGTATCTCCAACACTCTCTTGACTGATTGTTTCCTATTAAATTACAAGCCTTATCTTCACACTTTACTGAAACCTCTTGTAAAGCATAACTCTTTTATTTCTTCTGCCACTCAACTGACTTGACATAGCAAACAGAACGTCACCTACACTGGCTACACGCACAATTTTATGAAGTGCCACGTGTCATGTGATATGGGGGCCATGACGAAGTGGTTAGGATGTTTCAAGTTGAACGTAATCCACTCCAAACGCGGATAAAATGTATATGTCCTATTCCGCTTCCATTAGCAAAGACACGTCGAAATGTAGTAGCATTTGATCCAACACGAAGACCATGTTGACTGAGTCGCCTAGACTGGGTGGTGTCATTCAATAGGACGGCTAGATGATACATTAGCATGTTTAATTCCGAGGCAGCTGGTCATTTAATTTCAACCTGTTTAGCCAGTCACAAGATGTTCCAAATTATGAGTTGTTTCTTTAAACATGGAAAGTGCGCAACTGTGACTTATAATCTAAAATGTCACCACTGCTGGTCAAGGGATGAGCCAAAAGTCACTATAGGAGCTGCTCATTCCTGCCCAAGACAATCATGGACTGGAACCATCTTTCAAAAGGAACAGTTGAGGCGACAACACTAGACACATTTGTGTCTATTGCCTCAAGCCTTCAAACCCCTAGTGCATAATTTCCTCATCAACACCAGTAACAGAAACATTGCAAATCCCATCTACATGCATAGGAGCCAAAATGATCAATAAATTGATCGTGGGCCCTTAAGATATAGAAGAAGAAGAAGAAAAAGAAGATTTAGAGTGTAACCCAACAAGGTATATAGAGAGGCAGGGCCATGCTAAGGACGGTTGGGGGGCTACGGGGGCACACGCCCCTGACACTATTATCGGATGGCACTAAAATATATGTAGAAAGGTATTTGATAGTGATGAAACGATAAAATATCACATACCACATGCCACATGCCACATACTCCACAATGGTCCAGCTCGGGTGGCCCTTTTTTAAACCATGGAGGGGCGTCATTTTTCAGGCGCCGCTTTTCCTTTGCGGCCATGAGAAAGCCCTAAGACAACATCCACAAGTCGTGTCATCAACGAGCCATAACATCTTTGCCAGCCCCCCCCCCCAACCCAATCCCATTTTTGTCATCCATATCCACATGCCATTTTGTTTCTCCCTTGAATCAAATCTATAAACTATAAACTATCTTTTTATAATCTCATACTCATGTCTCTAATCCATCGCCCTTGCTTCAATAAAAATAGGTGGCGACAACTCTTATTACCACCAACGAATTGGTCATCCCTTTAAACTTAACACCAGCGTTTCTCAAGTTTTGCTTTGCTCGTGGACCCATTTTTAACATAAGTGTATTCTCTTCTTGGCCCTCTTCAGTGCTCAATTTTAAATAGCCTTTATTATATACATAAACTCTATGTGTTTGTGGCCGCAAATAGAGACGCTGCTACTCTCTGATTCAAATTGTTTGTGGCAGCCAATAGATACGCTGTTACTCTCTGATTCAATTTTTTTGCGGCCGTAACTAGATATTATGCTATTACTCTCTGATTCAAATTTTTTGAGGCCACCAATAGATTTTATGCTACTCTCTGTCAAATTGTTTGCGCCGTAACTAGATATGCTTTTGCTCTCTGATTCCAATTTTTTGAGGACACCAATAGATTTTACGCTACTCTCTGTTTCTGTTTATGGCCGCCAATAGATATACTGCTACTCTGACTCAAAACGTTTTTGACCGCCGACAGATACGCTGTTACTCTCTGATTCAGATTGCTTGTGGCCGTCAATAGATGTGCTGCTACTCTCTGATTCAAAGTGTTTGTGGCCGTCAATAAATACGCTGCTACTCTCTGATTCAAAGTGTTTTTGACCTCCAATAGATAGGTTCCTGCCTATCGACTAGAAACATAGCACCATAAAATAACATAATCACATAACATATCGGCCTAGCGTATTAAATAATGTTAATCCTCCCCCGAACTACTTTGAACTTTCACTCGCCTACTTCGGGAACATCTGTGGTCTCAAATATTATTGACTGAACTTTTAGGGGATAGGCGGGCTCTTTTAAAAAGAAACGAACCGAACTTGTCAAAAATCCGTGTTTTGCCAACAGCACAAAATATCGTCTGCAAGATTTACTGATGACGGTTATAAATTTTTTAAACAATTTTTTTTTGTTGCTACAAATTAAAAATGAAAATTGGATCAATCAAAGATTTTTTTTGTTTTAAAAGAGTGAATTATACGAAACAAAATGATATTGAAACTTTGAGTAAAACATTAGCACATGAACACTGCTTTAGCAACACTTACCCCAAAAATTAGAAACCAAGTTACAACTCCAACACATCATTACGAATTGACAGCCGCGTCCTAAAGTTGTCCGCTCGGAATAACCGATACTCTTTAAAACCAAAATGTCAACGATCAATGCTCTTTTCACAGAAAACGAAAAATAGGTGACAGAAATTGCTTTCCGTGCGCGTAAGGTCCGCTTTGAGAGGACGAGGGTGGCTGATTGCCCTCGTGATGCTGAAGTTTTATTTTAAAAAACGATATAAAAGATAATGTTTATCATTAATCATCGTGATATATTACGTTGTTGTCTTGTGATTAGGAAAAATATGTGGATGAATCACAAGCAGTAGGCCTAGTTCTCAAAACTAACTTGTTACACCCAAGGCTTGTTATCACACTATGCACACAAACACACACACAAATACACATTAATATTCACTTTCAAGCTTCAAGACTTTCTGCATTCTTGCAAATTTAATTCTAAACACCAGCCACATATTTTATATTTTAAAAAATGTCCCATTTGAAATCGTTTCTTGACACCAGACCAAGCCATGAGGTCAATGGTGAGTTCAGTGTGTCCGAACTTAAACTTGACCTCCGTCAACTGCAAGTTGACGGGAATTAAATAAACCGGACATTTGAGAGCTTCTCACTTACCATCACTTCGTGGCCCGACATGTTTTAAGTGGTCCTCACATACCATCACTTCGTTCCCCGCCATGTTTTAAGTGGTCCTCACTTACCGTCACTTCGTGGCCCGCCATGTTTTAAGTGGTCCTCACTTACCATCACTTCGTGGCCCGCCATGTTTTAAGTGGTCCTCACTTACCATCACTTCGTGGCCCGCCATGTCTTAAGTGTAAGTAATGAATGGATATTCGCCGACAAATACTCTCCGAGTCCAGGGTTGTAAGTCCACGTATCGATTGGACGCGGACATTTGATCGTTACACTTCAGCCTTGTCTGCGTGTGGGGGGTGGGAGTTGGGCGATGGGATGTGATCGTTACACTACAGCCTTGTCGGCGGCCAGGGTTGGGGGGAGGTGAGTGGCTGATACTCGATATTAAGGGCTATGAATTATTAACAACGACCTGTTGCATAGTTATCTAGAGCACGTCAGATTAAATACTTCGGGGGGAAAGTCCGATTAAAGTCTTCTGGGGCCAGTCAGATGAAAGACTTCTGGGGCAAGTCATATAATAAATAATTCTGGGGGCAAGTCAGTTTAGAGAGTTCTGGGGCAAGTCAGATGAAAGACTTCTGTGGCAAGTCAGATAAAAAAAAATGGACAAGTCAGATTAAACAGTTCTGAGGCAAGTCAGATTAAACAGTTCTGGGGCAAGTCAGATGTAACAGTTCTTGGGCAAGTCAGATTAAAGACTTCTTGGGCACGTCAGATGAAACAGTTCTGGGGCAAGTCAGATTCAGGCAGGAGTTGCCCACTTAAATGGCGCCACGTGTCATTTTTATAAAGATATAACTCTTCGCAGGCCGCGTGCCATTACGTCATTTCTGCAAGGAATTATTTATTTACCTGTTACAGCCCGCGAAACAATGGAGGCGACTATGCGTGAACTTCCCGTCTGCTAAAGTTACTGGACTAAACATGTAATTAAGAAAAAGTTATTGTTACCCGTAAGATTAATTTGATTTTGTAAGTTTTCCCAAACGTGATTTGCTTTTTCGTGAATTTCATTTTTTTTTGTTGAAAACACAAGTTACATAAAGGTTACGGATAAAGAATATTTATAAAGGTCACTTGAAAAGGTCACTTGGAAAGGTCACTTTAAAAGGTCACGTACGAAGGTCACTAATAATTCTTTGTGCTAACATTAAAATCTTGAATTAAGATATTTTGTTGATGTACCAAAGTGCTATGGAAATTATTATTTGTCAGTTATTTTTTCGGTTCAGTATGTTAATTTTCTTCTAGATCTTTTCCCGCTAATGTTCACGAATTTATCCTCGGGTGATAACACATATCCACGCGTCACACATATCCACGCGTCACACATATCCGCGCGCCACACATATCCGCGCGCCACACATATCCACGCGTCACACATATCCACGCGTCACACATATCCACGCGTCACACATATCCACGCGTCACACATATCCGCGCGCCATACATATCCACGCGCCACACATATCCACGCGTCACACATATCCACGCGTCACACATATCCACGCGTCACACATATCCACGCGTCACACATATCCACAGATCTACATGTGCGACACACAAACATGACACAAAGACTACAGGCGCAGTTGTGTTAAAATATGCAATCCCATCTCAGTAGCCGAATCTATTTGAAGTGGCTTGTCCGGTATATTAAAAGATAGACCATATTAGACATTTACTTTTTTAATTAATGAAACATTTTACCGGTATAGATATATTTGGGATAAAACTGTTGTGCTTTTCAACAAAAAAAAGGGGGGGGGGAAGAAATATAAATTCTTAATTTCAAAACTTTATCTCCAAGAATTAAAAGAAGCGTAATTTGAATGAAGAAATAAGTTTATTGTGAGACATCAGGTGTTCCGCCCTATTTAATGGGCCGGATGCAGCCCGCGGGTCGGCCAACCCTGGATTGAAGAGTTCTGAAAATTTTCGGAATAAAAAGTTCTGCAAAAGGTCATAGTTAAGAGTTTCTAGAGCAAAGTTTCGGGGGGGGGGAGTAGAGCGGGTGTGGGTAGCCACTTGCCTAAAATGACAAAGAAAGACTGGCGGTTAACCCCCCAACCCCCACAACTATTTTTGTTTTGTTTCTATCAATATAAAAAGTTTGGGGGGGGGGGGGAGTAGAGCGGGTGTGGGTAGCCACTTGCCTAAAATGACAAAGAAAGACTGGCGGTTAACCCCCCAACCCCCACAACTATTTTTGTTTTGTTTCAATCAATATATTTTTACAGGGAATGCTTCCCTCGCAAATATGGCATTGGCCCTAGAAAAGACAATGTATAATGGAAACATAACACAAGGGAGACGTAGTGTGACCCTCTGCAGCATGGGGGTGCAAACTACGGCTCGCGGGCAACACCCGGCCCCCTGTAACGCTGCTCTCCACCTACCAAGCCTTCGATGGCGTGGATTAATAGTTCATCATGAAATCATGAACTAGTAACTTGTTATCATGCTAAGATAAAGAGTTTAATTTTTTTTGCCTCGAACTTGAACTATCTGTTACTAGGTAGTTATCCTGTAACTATGATTTAATTTATTGTCAAGCACTCAAAGATCCCTAGAAAATTAGCATGTAGCCTGCCTAACAAACAAACAAAAAGTATTTGCCATGCGGCCCTCAGCACTGGAATATTACATTCACTTTTTGGGACCGAGCTATAGCTCTTTAATGGCCCCGGCAAGTTACAGGCCTGTCGCATCTGCGTGGCGTCGCCGTAAAGCATCGCAGCTCGCTGTGTCCGCAAGGGTTTTGCCTCTATGTGGAGCGGCGGACCAGTACGGTGGACTCGAACACCCGAAGCTAAAAATCCTGCAAATCCATGCCAAATTCTTGCCCTAGGACTCCTGGGAGAGGAGAATAGGCGACGCAGAACCTATTCCACAAGAGGTCGTTCGCATATTATGTCACGCAAAAAATTACCTTTTCAGACCCCCCTACCCCCTGTCACTAAGTGTCACAAATCATTTAGCCTACCCCCTGTCACTAAGTGTCACAAATCATTTAGCCTACCCCCCCCCACCCCTTTGGTGTCACGACACACCTAAAAAAAGTCAAACATACATAAAATGTTCATAACTAAACTATGATTGTATTTTATTCTTTAACACTAGAATAAACGATCCGATGTTATCGGGATAATAACGGTAGGTCTTTTGCGATAATTTCTGATTGCTATTGCAAAAACTCATCACATTTCATAACTTTAAAAATATAATGATGTTTACGTTTCTAACATCATTAAGTTTTGAGAAGTATTAATCTGCTATATATAACACGCCTACCCTACTCCCTTTCACGCTCATAAACTACTTTTTTCCTCTATAAACATGACCTTTAATTACCCAGTCTAACCTATCACTACTTATATCACTTTTGTCACTAAAGGAGTTAATTGGTGGACAATTACTACGCTAGAGAAATACTTTAGATTTTCCCTTTTCGTGCCCTTGAATACAACTTTTTTTTTCTCTAAAAATTGTTTTCAAAAAAGGATCTTAAATTTACAACAAAAACGATATATATGATATAAATATATTTTATACGACAGGAATTCGATATAAATTGATATCTTCATCAAAAATATAAACCTATTTTTGCCTCTTTTTTTTTTTTAAATATTATCAGAGACTCGTAAAACAAAAAAAAATTATTTTATCTAAATAACAAATCTGGCAACTGTTTTTCAAGTCTATAACAGATTTGAGTATCGTTTTAAATAATTTAAATTGTTGATCTCATAAAAATACACAAATCTTTACTTTTTGCAAAGTAAAAACAAAATTATATTTTCATTTTTTGAAAGTAAATATTAAACCATCTCTATTTTTCAAAATTAATTTTTCAAGTGTGTAAAATTATTGGGTTTTGATATACGTGGGTATACTTATATAAATGTACCCAAGAATTGTTATCGCCATTGATTTCTTAATTGGTAAACATATGTTTATTTGTAAAAAGATAATTTAACATCTCTTTTTTTCACAAATGTAATATCATAGGTTTTAAATATATTGTCATCCGTGATAAATTTAAACATCTTTTTTCATATCTCCGATATGTATGTAACCAAGAAGTTAATTATTAATCAAAGTTATTTCTTTATTTTGAGACGCATATACTATATTGTATTGCTTTGGGCAAAATGAAATTACCCATATTTATAAACAGAGAATGTAACATCTCTTTTTTTCACAAATGTAATACCATAGCCGTTAACGAAGTTGTCATCCACGTAAAAATATACACATCTTATTTCCTACCTCCGACTTGTATTTACCCAAGAAAATTAATTATTTATCAAATTAATTCCTTTGTTTTGAGACGTATCTTGTTGTAGAGAAAAAGAAGTTGCAATTCAAAGGCACGAAGAGGGGTAAAACTAAATTATTTCTCCAGCGTAGTAATTGTCCCTCAATGTACTTCTTTAGTGACAAAAATGAATTAATTAGTGATAATTCAGACTGAGTAATTTAAGGTCATGTTTAAAGGGGGAAAATGTAATTTAAGAGCGTGAAAGGGAGTAGGGTAGGCGTATAATATATA